TACTCTCCTACTAACAATGGTGCGACAAACGAGAATATTATCTTACCGGTAGACTAACAGCGATCAAATTACCTAGCTGATAGCAGATAGATGATAATAGCCAAGCACGACGACTCCTATTGACGCTAATTACGAATGAGCATCCAAGAGAAAGAGAGACGTACTGAGAGTACATATATATAATACATATAAATAAATATATATATACACAAGTATACACATATACTATACTACTGGCACTTAAGTAACACCCTCGTGCTATCTTTCAGTTAACTAGCATACATTCAATGGCAACAAAGTGACTCCGTCCTGTAAACTTTCAGTGAAGTTTCGACGCGTTTAAATGACATGTGTTTATTTATGCTTCTTTTTTTCCCGTTTCTTTTTATTTTCCTTCTTTCCTCTTTTCAAATCATCGCACGATTATTTTTAGTTACTGCAGCTCGATGAGTAACACGAATATCACATGTAACCACTTTGAAAAGGTAACGATTAAAAGTGAAACGATTGAAATCATGCGAACGTTTAATATATGTATACAGCATACTCCATATACTCGATTGACATGAACTCGCACATACGCATACACACAGATAAACACATGCGTACATTCGAGTTGTAAAACCCCTTTGGACTCGGATCGAACGCATCTGCGGCACCATATGCGCGCGTCTCTAATACACATTTTCGAGTCTTTAAAACTGTGTTCAAATATCTGTCTCTCTCTCTCTCTCTCTTACTTTTTCTAACTGTCGTTCAAATATATTACTTACATTAGTTAACACGCTAACACCTGCGAACTCTTTATTCCCTATGTCCTATCATTTTATTAGGATGGAAATTTACTAAATTGACGATACAAATTTTCCTTTGGTCTATGCATACATATAATTTTTTTTTTTTTACTGTCTCATATATCACATATTTATGTATGTACACATATGCATGTGACAGTTCAGACTGTTACTAGAAATATCTTTTTCAATACTTGCAATAATTACTTCATATATATATATATATGTAGATGTATAGTTTAAAAATAGAAATAAAAAAAAATGAATAAATAAAACAGATGACAATTTATTTTTAATAATATCTTATTTATTTATAAATATTTTTTTTTATTTTATAAATAATATTTTACTATTTATAAAATATAAATTTTAAAATATTTTTATATATATATGAAAATTAAATAATAAAATGAATACAGAATATCTAAACTTATTGTTAATAATTGTTATTATTATATAGTACTTATTACTATATAGTAACTTATACTAGTTACTATTATAGTAACTTATACAAGTTAATAATTGTATTAAATAAGTTTTATTAACTTATTTCCTTTAGTATATCCCTATTGATCTCTAATCACCGTAAAAAAAGAGAAAAAAAATATTCGAAATTTTCACTAGTGTACGTCGAAAGACTCAATTAAGATAATAAGCGATATAAAACGATTATCTTTCGGGGGCGTTAACAAAGATAACGTTGAGGATCGTGTTTTAAGGTGTTTCTAGTCGAAGAATATATAATCTTTTCTATGTATCCTCTAGGCTAAAATTATCTTTTACAACTCGCGTCTACATTAGTATTCCGAGCAAAAGCAGACGTTCTTCTGGTTGAGCGTACCGCATTAACGAAACATGTATAGTTAAACCACTGCCTAACGCATGCCGCTCAATAAGCATGCTTGCCACTTTCCCTGACCAATGAACGCGTACCTACTACCTTCTATTATTTTAATCTTATTCCTCTCTCGTCTTACGCAGAAACGCGAGATCTATGTTTTAGCTACTTCAAAATATCTCATAAAAATAAAATAAAATAAAATAAGATATAAAATCTGGCCAATACTATAGTGCGTTTGAAAGCTAACATAGTGTAATTAAAAAAAAAAAATAAAAAAAGTATAATATCTGTTTTATCAGTCAACAGTAAATAGCGTCTTACGAATTAACACTAGATATACCAGACCAATCATTTTGACTGGTCGGGCCATTTTAATTCAAAATTTCTACTTCATGTAACATTTGAGTTCTGTAAATAATTAAGAGTTTTGTTATTTAAAAATATCTATAAATTCATTTATCTATTAAAATTATTATTGTTAAACAATTTTGTTATTTTTTAAGAGTAAATAATGACTGGAAGCCTCAAAAAGCATTTTTTTTATACACCAATCATTTTGACTAGTGTGGTAGAAATAGGTATACTGAAAATAGTGGTATATCTAGTGTTAATGAAAATAAATAAACGAAAACTTCGATAAATTTGGAAATTTTAATACGAAAAAAAAAGGAAAAATTCGATTGGTAATAAAANATATCTAGTGTTAATGAAAATAAATAAACGAAAACTTCGATAAATTTGGAAATTTTAATACGAAAAAAAAAGGAAAAATTCGATTGGTAATAAAATTTGGGATTTCTATAAATATAGATGATTAATTATTGAAAAANGAAAAAAAAAGGAAAAATTCGATTGGTAATAAAATTTGGGATTTCTATAAATATAGATGATTAATTATTGAAAAAGTTGTAAACAAAAATAATATAATTATAATTATAATATTTTTCTATGTTGCATTAGAAGGAAATAAAGTTTATCTATAAAACAAAAAACAAAAATATGATTTTTTTCCGGAAAATTTTTATTCAAAAATATATCTATATCTCGGTTTCTAATCTATCAAAGCTCAAAACGCACATTCGTCGAACGTACAACGAAAACCACAGCTCTTAACAGACGAATCGTCTAGACGTATACCGCAACAACACAACACGCGGCTTAATAGCCTTTCACAAACCCGGTTAAGTCCTCGATTTCGCGCTAACGCCACTCTCTTCTAACCTCACGATGGATTCAACAAAAAAAATGAATGAAAGAGAAAGAGAGTGTCCTTGACTCTACACACTGAAGTATTCTCAAAAAAGACTTTATGAAATAATTAACTCTCTCGATCGAAATAAAAAGAAACAAAAGTAAATTACCTTAAACATTAACATATATACAATTCTTTAAGTATTATATAATAAATATATACACATTAAATATTTTCAGTCTTCTATAAGAATAATTTGAACTTCGAGCCGGAAATTGGTAGAACGTGTTAATATAAGACTTATTAAAAAAAAGTATATTATAATGTTTATCTCTCGAGTTACAAAAAGATAACTAGAGAAATTAATTTAAAAAACTTATGAAAGCGATCTTATTAAGTTTCAAGGTTGATGAGTAAAGGATTCTCTTTTTTTTTTCACCTTCTTACATTTTTCCAAGAAAGTTTATTAAGTCGACTAACCATTCGCTTAAACGACGATCTCCTAACACGTATAATAAATTCACTTTGGTTCGGATAAAAGTTACTGAGAAACGTGAGTCTTAGTCGTCTTCTCGAACGTTCCTGGACTTGTCTAGAATCAACTAGTAGTAGGTAGCTGATATATATGTATGTGTATATATATGTGTATATATATATATATATATTTTTTTTTTCTATTATGAGACTTGACAAACGAGTCGAACGAGCCATTGGGGTCCAATATCACCTGAGGGAGCCGGCATTTGGAAATTCGAGAGTTGAAAATGTTTGAAAGTTATTCCACGTGTTCTTTCGATAAATTCATTTAAAGAAGAAAAAGAAAACCGATCAAAGGATGATCTACGACCTATAAATCCATAATTAGAAAGGAATTATTCTAGAATGTTTACTTTGACTAATGCGAAAATAAATTCATTAATCCTTTATGGACGAACGACACACACACATACACACAGTGATAGATTATATTATAAATTGTATGCATTTAGAAAATTAATTATATATATTCAGCAAAAATTATACATAATCTATTCCTAAAACAAATAATTAGAGTAATTAGTCTCTAAACAATCGAAATATGAAACCATTGATCACACTTTGGTGTCCAAATATTTTCAAGAGTCACTGTATGCATTCAACATAAGCCATCAGTATAGCTGATTAACTCATATATGCGTTCGGCATATTAATGCTGGTCTTAATGCTAATTAATACTAAATCAATATCTAATAAAAGAAAATAATTAAAATAATTAAATATATTTTATGAATATAAAATCTTTATATTATTTAACAAATAATGCTAAACCTGTATTAATCTATTGATGCAATGTTCAAATAATAAATTCAACATGGTACATGATTCAGTTTGCAATGGATTAAGAATTACCCTTTTGTATTATTTAATTTAACCGTACAAATGCAGATTTACGTTCAAACGATCAAACTTGACAGATTATTCTTAGAATAGTGACAAATAAAGAATTTACCTTTCCCAGATCGTTGACTCACTTTTTTCGATATTCGATCAAACGTCATCTTACGAGATCGTATCTATCTACGCTTTCCTCGATAACGATTATTTCCAAGTAAGTAGAATTTCCGATACAGAAATCGCGAAGCATTGTTTATACCGATTGTACACGTTTTAATCGTATCGAGTTTGCATCCTACACAGTAATCATATAATCGGCAAACAGAATGATCAGCGAACCGTAGAGTTTAACAACAGTATTCTGTCGATATTTGAAAGGAGAAACGAAGTGGAAAGAGATGTTAACGAACGCCCGCCATCAAACGCGATCCTGTCATTTTTGATTGGTCGCTTTGAAAAAGAGTAAAGAAAGCGCGTCGCTACTTGATTGTCTAGAAAACAAAAGAAAGATGTCTGTCCATAACACGATTGGTTAACTTGGTCAAAATAAAAGTAGACATACAAAAAAAATAGAGAAGGGGATCCTTTTCTTGTATCCTATGTCTCCTTAGTTACAACAGTAGTTTCATAACGTTAGAGAAAATTCAAATAGTAAGGGGGAACCGAGAAGGCGGGACTTTCGAGGTTACGTTTCTAACGTAACGGTCATTGTATACGAGTATGTGAAAGAGCAACAGAGACAGAGGGAGAAAGGTTACGTTTATTCCAATTAATTGAGACTTTGTATGTGTACACTTACGATTCAATTCTTGTGGCACGCTTTGTCGCCACCGGTTGCCAGAATCCAGCTAGCACAGGTGTGTCCTTGCATACACCAGGTGGGATGATAACAATGCCAATAAGAATAACGATAAAGGCAAAATTTAGCCGATAAAGAAATGTCAATGACTATTAAAGTAGACGACGACAACGACGACAACGCAACGAGGAAAAAGATCGAACACACGAGACACACACTCACAGCCACAAAACAGACTAAAGCCAGAACGAAAAAACAACCATCCACCGCGCCGCCGCCGAGCCAACTGGCGACGCGAGCCGCAACACGCTCTTGTCGCCCTCTGTCGGTAGAATTGATCTCGATTAACGCGCCGCCACTTTTGTAACCACAGACGCCTCTTTTACCGGCGCCAAATTTGATTCCTTTCTCTCTCTCTCTCTCTCTCTCTCTCCCTAACTATTATTTTTATTTTTAACTTATTAGAATTATTTAGTCAATGTGTGGTTTTTATTTTAATCTTTGGATATTGACAAATACGTACCTATATACAAAGTATAAATACGTGTTCTTTTATAAAACTAACAATAAATTATCATAAACAATATATAAAATATTGTTTAACTGTTAATATTATATCTCTTTTCCTTAAAAATTAATAACAATAATTTCTTTATTTCAAAGTGTGCCAAATGTTGACTAGTTTTCTCGGACTTTGTAAAATCAAAAACCAATGTAATCTTTCCATAGAACCCCTTACTCCTTTTCCAAGCGCAACCTTACCAATAAATATATCATCGGCCTTTTTGTATGAATTTACCGAAGAATCCTCGCTATCGCTTGGATTCTCGTTATTACTCATTGGTTCATTTTTCAGCGTAACCTGAAAATCATCTCGTTTAAATTTACTCGGTCTTATTTTGTTCAGAGGGTTATTTCGATCATCAATTATACGTGCCTTGCTGCATAAAACAATTAAAAATTGCACGGAATCCAATTGATCATATGCCACATCGAAAGTCAACGTTTCATTGAATTCCGGTTGAGCAACAGCGTGTAGCGTTCTCGTTTTCCTCTTCTTCAATTTCTTCCCCGTCTTTCCATTCAACATCAGTACTCTTACATATGGATCTGGAAAGCGTAGAAGATAGAATTTCTCGATCGACATTTAGAAAGTTACCTGTTGAAATAAATGAGAAGCGTAACTTACAGAATTCATTTAAACTTGGTACAAATTTGAGTACTTTAATGTTCCGTAGTTCCATTATGTTAATTGTCAACCTCTGCGCCGTAGGCAAATAGCTTACACCTAATAAAATTTTGCCAAATTCCTACAAGACCAAATTATTCTGTTGAAAATTCATCAACATTTGCTAAATCAAATATAAAATACAAAATAAAATATATCCTTATACCTGACAGGATGGTTTCATTCTATAATTGAACACATGTTTTTCAGGACTTTTAAATATTATTTTTACATCCTTGACTGCCATTTTTAATGAACACAATTCAGTGTGATTGGCGTATCTATCGTGATCGTATGCTACAATATCTAAAATCCATTCCTGTTGAAAATAAAATAAAATAGAATAAAATAAAATAAAATAAAAAACGATTAAAAAGTAGCGACAAATAATGAACCTCCCAATCGGAAAGATGTTAAAGCGAGCAACGAAGGGTGCCTGTGATTGGCAACTTGTTATACAGACAAGTGTGATCAAATAATTTTCAGGAGTCAGCGAAAGGAGCAATGTCCAAAGCAATATATGTATATAATATTTCAAGTATTCTCGATTTCATTGGCAAACATTTTCATTACATTTCGTGTTAACTTATCAATGTCAAGCCTAACAAAGGTAATAATTTTTTCACGAGTTTTAACGCTTCTCCAAAACCTCTTCAAGTCCATTATTTTTAATGACTTATGTTTCGTTAGCATCCTAACGAAGTTTGTCATTGAAATTTCGTGCGAAAAACAGAAAGTAAATAACTACGTGTATTACCTACGAAAAGATTATACTACTAATACAGCTTATTACTCTTTCTCTCTCTATCTCTCTCTCTCTCTCTCTCTCTCTCTCTCTTTCTCTCCCTCCCTCGCTTTCTTTATTTTTTTATTTTTCATGACATACTTTAAGCGTAACGCATTATAAGAGGATATAGCAAACGGTAAAAAAAGGAAGAACGATAAAACGAATATACCTTAACTTCTTGCGGTTTAGCATTGGCCACCACAAAAGTTTCCCTGTAAATCGGATTAGCTGTATGTCTGATGCCCCTTGTTCTGAAACTGTGCAATTTCATTTGCTTCCTGTGGCTCCATGATTGCTTCACAATATTTAAAGCTACGTAAGGCTCGATCGTGCAATTGTATTGTTTCGGTGGAAGACTGGAAACCGCCTACAAAAACCAATTATATTCGTAATTACATTTTTATATTCGACTATCTATCAAATATAAAACTATTGAAAACATTTTGTATGTATATCAATACCTCAATACCGACGACGAACTTTCCTGTTATATCATCGCAAGGAGGCAAATATTGTAAACTCAAAGTCAATTCTGTAGGAAATGCTTTTTCTTTTTTATCACTCTTTCGTTTTTCAATCTGAATAAGGTTCTGTGGAAAAAATAATATGATGGATACTTATTTTTCCAATGAGTACAGAGTATAAAATTTAATTGATAGTGAATTTACCACCATTGAAGAAGTTTCGATGTTCTCAAATTGGCCACACATTGAGTTGACAGAATTAGTTTGAAATTCAACGTTTTCACTGATCGTTCCTATAAACATAAATATATCTTTTAATCAAAACATTCCTTCTTAATATTAACTGATGTGTTTAAATATACTAAAAGAAGAAATATTAAATCGTTATACCATTGTTATCATTTTCATAAAGACTTCCTAATCTCCAAGACCTGTAACTCACACCATTTAATTTTACGTTCTCGTTACTTTGTCCTCCGCTTCGTGAAAGAGCTTTCGTTGATTTTTTTTCTACAAATAAACAATTTATTATCCATCTTTGAATAACATATAAATTCGTTAGATATATTTGTTAGAATATATCATGAAGTAAATATAAAAGTATAAATAAATACACCATTACAATCTTAATAAATTGAAAACTATGTGTCTGTGCAAGTATTGTTCATTATACGTACTTGTCGAGTTGCATAGTTAATTATGTAATCATTCAAAGGAAACGGAAAGTACAACGATGACGTATACTACGTACATACTTATTCATCCCGTGATAAAATGAAGGCGTAATCAGCTTTGTCTTGACTTTATCGTTCGCTATTTCTTTGTTGATATTTCAAAAACGTAATATAAGAAATAATAAGTAACTCGACAGATCCAATTAAGTATAAAATAATTTACAAATATTATTAATTATGTATACATATTAAATATATTTTATATATATACAGTTTCGTAATACGTGACATTTAGTTCAGGAGTGGACAGAAAATACAAAATTGAAGAAAAAGATACCTATACAAATGTATTCTGTTTGATCTTATTTAAAAGTTATAATCACTTTTGTTTTTCCATAATCCATGACAATTTGATATTCATAAAAGGTGCTTGAGATGACAGCTTTCTTATATACGTGCTCGAAGTTGTTCAATACTGGTAATGGATATCGAAAACAGAATTGTTTTCCAATAACCTCGAAAATAAAAATCTAATTACGCACTTATTACTTTTAACACTTCGTTGATCGATTATTTTTTTAAGAATTTATCCCATGTCACCGGCTATTACTTCGTAATTGAATTGAAAAGTAAAACAATATAAGTAATTTTTAATAAATTTTACTTATTATTAGACTTTAAATATTTATTTTATTATTTGTGAATTTTTTTAAATATTTGTGTCACCTGTTCACGCCTGAAGTAGGTCCTATAAATTACGAAACACCCTGTATATTATACGTATATATTTACTTGATATGTAATAAATCAAAATATTGTATATACGTATATATAAATATCTTACTACATCTTCTTGTACACTCGTAACCGATACATCCAGGTGTTAAGAAGCAGGCGGTAATAAGTAACACAAAAAGGACAACTGTTGCAACAATGGCGATCAATATAATCCGGCCCCATGGGCCAAACAGGCCGGCGTCCACCATTCACTACGATCCTCAGGTCAAGGTCCTTTAATACAGAGATCAAGATTAAGGAAAATTTTCTTACAAATTTAATCTATCTTTTTATACATATATACTATATATAATATTTGTATTATATACATTTTTTATATAAATGAAATTCATATAAATATTATTAGATATATTTAATATATAATAAATTTATTTATTTATTTATCATTTTTATATATATTTTTTTCATGTACGTTGTAGAATTTTAAGTGAAAATCCTTGTTTGCTTCGTTTAAAATGAAAAAAAAAGAAAAAGAGAAAAAAAATACAAGTAACTCACATAAAGTTATTTCCGGTACGTTATCACTTCACTCTTTAGTTTTATTTCTTTATATCATATTCTGCTGATAAAAATAATATTCACGTATATTATGTGTTTTATATAATTGTCCTATTTTCAGGCAAATTAATAGTTTACAAAGTACGTTTAATCCCACACTCGTAGAAGTTACGCGCAACTCTAACGAGTAGCCGGTAAGTTTAAAAAAAAAATATAGATGAAGGATGGAACGCAATTAGAGAAAGAAACGATAAAGAAAAAAAGAAATATATAAAGAAGAACTGGCAACAAGTGGAGAACACTTGTGTCACCAAAGTTTCGCGAATTCCCTCATAATCCGTATAGTTCTTTGTATCCGTTGTACGAAATCGATTAGAAAAACGATCAAATCGATTCTATCATTCCTTAATTTGAAACGATGAACAATCGTCAAGGATTTTCACATTTTTCTAACGAAGTATTTATAAAACGATGAATCAGAGACATTATATCGCATGGTCACACCTGAATCCTAATTAAGAAGGAACATATAATAACTAAAATAAAGAAAAAAAATAATAGAAATTATTCATATCGAGTAAAGAACATTTAAAGAAAAAAAAAAATACTTCAATTATTACAACGATACACGTATATGTTACATAAATAACGTACTCTCTCAACTATTGTACACACGTCGTTCCACTTTTAATGGAAAATATAACGTAAGTATAACGATATTTCACAGTGCTAATCATCGTACAAAACCAACTTCCGCGTGACAAACCGTAAGCATGAACTATTTTTCTTTATTTTTTTTTTTTGTTTTTTCACAAACACTCGTCACTCCTTAGAAAACGATCGATAAATCTATTCTTCTTTTTTTTTTTTTTATATGATTACCTTCTTCTATGGGACTCATCCGTACAAAGATTAAATCCCATTATGACACTGACACGTTTTCTATCGTTTAATCATTGAGATGCATTATAATGCACTAAGAGAACAAAGTTTTTTTCTATGTAAGTAATATATGTATGTACGACGTAAGTAATACGTCTGTAATGTGACCAATCAAAAGGAACGAATTGATCAACGTCGAACGAACGTCCTTCGTCGATACTCCTCGACGAAATAAAAAATACGTAGAGACAAATGCAACGTGTACCGTACAACACGACGTACCGTAAGTATTTACGGATGGAGAAAGAGAAAGAAAAAGAAAAACGTATTGCACGTTACATTCGTGTGGTCCCCTCTTCGAACTTCCGTGCACCTTCGCGCCTATCTATCCTTTTCCGTCTTTATCCGCAAACCCACACATACATATACAGATACATACACACATATGAATATCAGAGAACGATACGACGTAACACTTTTGTCATTAGTACGTGTGTCATTTTCATTTGTGTGTGCGTGTAAGACTATGCATGTGTTGTTTATGTTTCTAACCGCCCAGAGAACAATGCCACGCGTAGATTTATATATATATGCATATGCGTATGTGTACATTATATGTATATGTGTGTAACTTAACGAGGAAAGCACGTGTTATCGTTGATAATGCAAAGCAAGTATGGTCTCTTTCGTATACACTTTTTTCTACATTGAAAATTTTACGTTAGACGAACTAAATATTTAATGTTTAATTTCTTTGATTATTTTTCTTTGGTATTATTTTTTCTTCTTTATTTTTTATGAAGTTGCATTAAATTCGATATATACGATTGAGAATCACTGACGCATTTTTGATTGATTTTTTTGTAATAATTAATTATAATGAATTTTATTCCCACGACTTTATCTTAACTTTGATTGTTTACGAATGAGAAAGCATTCAATTTATAAAGTATTCGCTGGTTTCACTTTTCAATTCTCATTCGTTGATTTAATCGAGCCTATTTAGCAAAAAGAAAGAGAAAGAAAGATCGTTCAATTCTTGATAATGATTACTCTCTACCCACGCTTTCCATAATTTTTTCCGTTTTCCTTGATTCGAACACCAAAAAAAAATCGTGTGGGTTAAAAAGAGAGAAAGAAGAAGAAAATTCGCGAATGCGGATGTATAAATACAAATTTTTTACTTTAATAATATTTAACGATGCACGGATCTTTGAATATTTTTAATGACAAAACACTATTTAAATAAAATAAAAAGAAACTAAAAAAAAAGATCGTTATATAAAATTATAAATAAAAACTATGGGGTATTTCTCAAGACTATCCAGTTTATCAAGATCGATACAAAGATCACTGGAACGAGTCTGTATAATTATGATTGAATTATTTTTTATTGAAAATTCTAGTTCATCGTATGTATTATAAAACTTACAAGAATGTACATAAATACATCTCATAAATATATCTATATTTATGTAATATATAAATATCTCATTTTTGACCTATTTAAATATATTATTTTATAAATTTGTTTCTTAAATATTTAATTATTATAACATACAATATACAGGGTGTCTTTCAACTGATGGTACAAAGGAGAAGTATAAAAAAAAAAATCTAAAATGTAGAATAAAATTTGTTTTAGTGAAAAATAAATTTAAAACTTCATCAAATACGTGCGTACTTAATTAAAACAAAATTAATAATTACTCCCTGTTAACCTTTACTATCAGTTACAGGACGTATTTTTATATATGTTATAAGAATCCACATACAATTTAAAATGCATGCTAAAAAATAATAACTTTATATATAAGCATAAAATTATATATTTAATTATTCAGTTATGACGACATATCTTCATATATATGTCAAAAGATCGATATATAAATAACGTATATAAAATTATATAAATATAATAGAAAACAAAAAGATAATTAATATTTAATAGATAGCAACTGTTTCGGAGGGTCAAATGTAGAAGAAAGAGAGTTTAAGACGTCAATATCGAGTGGTTCTTCTGTTGTTGACCTCAATCCCCGATCCACGTCCGTCCTTTCACTTTAGAACTTCTTCCCGGACACTAAACGTGGTGTCGAAGAACTTACCTGTACATTCTGTAACGATTCAGTCTGTAACTTAGTTTACACTGGTACGCTGTGCACGGTCTCTCTGGCTTTTACATTTCACTTTCACGTAAGTTCAATCATTAGAGATTGCACGAACGTTCGAACGCGAAAATGATTCGTTTGCAAATTATCATTTCTGTGGTATTTAAAACGTTTGTTTATATCGATCTGTCCTATTTAAATTTTACGTAAATAATAAAATAAATATAAAAGATCTTGTGCGAACAAAAACAAAATCAATCTTTCAAAGATTTTTATATACATATGTAACTTAATTTGTTAACGAAGTGAGAAAGTATCCAAAGGAAAAGTCATTTAAGTGTATTTATTTAGTGAAAGTTGTGTTAGGAAATACCATTGCTTCATTTGAATAAATTTTGTGAACATCATAATGTGTTAATTTAAGCGTCCTTTTAATGTAGAACGCTTACAAAGTTTTAATTTTTTATATTTTACTAAAACACCTTGACCCGTTTCTAGTTTGCGAAATATACTAATATCAATAACATTGATCAATAATTTTGATCAATCAGTGAATTGATATATGATCTACGTGAGTTTAGTTGAAAGTCTGTTAATCTACGATTAATAAAAGATATTTATCTATCGATCCAAAATAATTGACAAACTTGTAAATAACTTTCATTCATTAGAACAAATCTTCGAAAAAGTATATTGGTTATAATTGAAATTTTTATTTTCAGTGATCGCGAAAAATGGAACAATGCATTTATTGAATACCTAAAAAAATATCTAAGAGATTAAACGCTTTAGGCGATGGCTACATTCGCTAAGATCTCGATCATAAGACTGAGCATTATAATCATTCTATTCAACTGTAAGTGATATTTGTTATTTCATTGCAAGTGCAATACAAACAAAAAATCTTTATTACTTTGATCATAACGTTAAAAAAAATTTACAACCATCAAAGCATTACCAATGTGTACTATTTTCTCTTTTGAATAACTTATCTCGTAATTATTTAAAAAACAAAAAAGATAAAAAAAAGAAGCTTATGGAATCAATGAATTAAATCATACAGAAAGATCAAAGGATAACAAATCGTCTCTGTGTACTATTATTTTCATTAATTCTTCTCTCGCAGTACCGGTTGAAAGGTGATAAGATCAACGCTTGTAATTTCTATTCTGTATGATGTAATGATAGTGAATAGTGTAACGTAAGACTAAAGTAACAACTCTTAAAGTAAAGTGTATTCATCTTTCTCTCTTTCTCTTTTTTTAATCTCAACAAGTATCCACTTAACGTTTTGAACCATTTATGGAACTCCACAAGTGAAAGAAAATCTTTTCAGATGCAACGAGTCTGATTATACCGGAAGAACTTCCTACGATACTTTCACTAATTTATTCTAACATACCACCGATAAAGAAAGGTAAGTAAATACGGAAACATGTCTGTTAATTTCATATTCTATCGTGAATTGAACCAATACTTTCACCTACTACACGTAATTCTAATCATATGTTAAAGACTAGAATATAACATTTCTAATCTGTTATTACGTATCCTCACTAATTTATATCTAATATTATTACTTTATTTCTAATGACAAGGAACGGACTCGAGACTAGGCATTGGTTTCCGGCTTGGTGAACATGCTGATTTTCAAGTTCTTCTTGAATTAGGACCTCAAACTGATACCGATCCGATCGGTACCAAGGATTCCAAAAGACGAAGAGACGTAAGAAATATTTTGATAAATATGACAGTGATTACAAGTTAAACAAATTGATTTTATGATTTATATGATAATATTAATAATTATAGTATATGAAATAAATTATCGTCAAAAATAATTACATAATACCATAAAATTTTAAAATCTAATGTTTTAATTACATACGATGTTTTGTTTTTTATTTTATCAGGCGATGTACATGGCTGCGATGAAGGGAGAATTAGGCCCTTTAGCACAAGCTATAGCAAAATATCAAACTGAACGTAAAATACATGAAGAATTAGAAAAGCTTAAAAAAGTTGAGGAAAAAACGAGAATAGCTGAGAAAGAGGATACTAAAAATGTAAGTAATTTTTAAAAGAAGTGACAAAACTTCGATACTTCTTAAGGATTAACGAAAGTGATGCAATTTTCTTTTCTTGTAACTAATTAATAATTAGTAAGTTACTTAATAATTAATTAATTTAATAATAATATTATTTTAATTTAATTTTTTCATTTCGTGCAAATGTTAACATTACATTTTTCTAATATCTTTTTGTTTTTATAAATACTTGATAATTAAATTCTGTGTATTCTAGGATACCTCCAGCGATTGGTTGATGAAGTGGAGTAAAGAAATGTCGAAGTCCTCCACGAGTGAAGTGCCATTGAAACGAATTTCTACTGAGAAAATGTCTTTAAATACCAGCGGTAGCAGCAGTTTGTCACATCAGAAAACACAATCTACTACTGCAAATAAGGAGAAACTAGAAGAGCTTAAAAAATTGTACAAATCACAATGACAATTGGTAATAATAGACAAATTCATTTATAATAAATTGCCTTATGTTATAAAACAAAGATATTACTTGTAATAAAAAAGGAAAAAGAAAAACAAAACAAATAATTTCATATAAAAAATTTCACACATAACTTCGATTTTATTTATTAATAAATCATTTTCTACACACAAGCAACAAAACTAATATTAAATTTATAATATAGCTTAGGCAAAGGTGATTTTTTAATTGGTCAGATATATTCATGCGTTAAAAATTTCTTTCTTTTTGTAAATGCCTATACATAATTATTTTAATTAAAGCTATGCTAATTGTAAGCTGCATCCGTTTACATGATAAATATGTTATTAATATAATCTAAAGAAAAAATGTAATGTCTTGATGATAATGACCTGAATACAAATAATAACAAATACATACGTTTTCTCTGATTACTGCAAACATGAATCCAGGAAAGACAGGCAAAACATACCTGCGTACAATATTTTAGTAAATTACTAAATCGCAATACATGATACATATTAAACAATCTTAATAAATTATATATATATATTTGATTTATGTATAAAACGAATATTTGTTTAAAATATATTTTCAAAACATTTCATTCTTATGCTTTACGATTAACTTTGATATATCTCAGGTCCATATTTTACATTAAATTTGTACCTAATGTAACTAAATTACATTTATGAAATCTTACTGCCCTGAGCAACTGTATTTTATAAATTTTGGATGTATCATTATATAATAAAATTTATATAATTCGTGTAAACTATCAATAGCATTTATGTTACCTATTTGTAACAGATTTAACACTTATATTCGATAAGGGATTTGACCGTACAAAAAGTGCATGTACCAAAAGTAAATATCTTCATTGTAACTCCTGCATTTAATACTTTGGATGCATGTTCAATTATTCAAACATCTTCATTGGTCAGAGTAATAAATTATTACCTAAAACATAAAAACAATAAATTATTTTCATTTTAAATACATTGCTATAATTGTAATTTTATGTTAGAGCAAGATAAAAAGTAGTATATAAGAAATAATTATAAGGTACATCTTTAAATAGATCTTACATTAAAATATGTAATGTAACTATATTTTTGTATTATAAATTACTCTATTATAGAACATTATTATAGTAAAATCTTTAAGATTGATCCACATTATAAATATCCTCTTTATTTTGTACTCCTACTATCTTCCTTTTAGTATTCTTTTTCCTTTTATTAGTTGTTTTATAATTTTTAACAAGTCTGCGTCTTTCCATACCACGTTTTGATCTCTTTTCGCTCAACCAAATATTTTCAGCAGATACATTTACTTGTGTACTTTTACGTGTTCTTGTTGCTATAACAGATTCTTCATTTTCATTTTGATTATTAACATTGCAAACTTCATCCTTTCTATTCATATTTTGACTATCTTTCTTTAAAGCGTCATTTTTACATTCTTTATAATCCTCTTCATTTACTTTTATGTAACAACTCTTCAATCTATTAGTTTCTTCTTTGATATCCATTGTCCCATGCTCTGACTTATTGCTTTTCTCTATATGATTATATTCTTCTGAAGTTTCAGGATTAAATTTCTCTTCGTATGATTCATTCTCATTTGTTACGTTATCTATTTGTTCCTCCTTTATAACAATATCATTTGTTGAACTAATGCCTGAATGATCCTTCTTATCCTCAAATTGTATTCCTTTGAACCTTAACCATTCTTTTAATTGTTCATTTTCTCTCTGTACAAAATCAGTATCATATCTTATTAAACATAATTTCTCACGCAATGCTTCCTTTAATTTTATTTGTTCCTCATTAATTTGTTTCATTAATGTTTCCATTTCAGGATCAACAATCTTTATATCCATCCAAAGCATATTCGTACGTACATGTTCTATGTTAGAATATTTATTTTTATTCTCTTCAAACGCCATGCTGTTGAAACAGAATACAAGTACAGCTGTTAAAACTCAATACATTTCTACGACTTCTTTATGTTTGGCTTGTCATTAAATCACGTTCTTTATTACCGACGTAATAAAAAAATACTTGAAGAAGATTGTAGCGCCACTACTTGGTAAAACAGAAAATTTTATATCTAAAAATTATTTCTTTTATATTTTTTAAACATAAAATAATAATAAAAACATAATTTAATGAGCTTAATAGTACTTGCTTTACATTAAAATGACATAATTATTAATCGCAAATAATATTAATTGTCCAGATGACATTATCTGGAGATCGCTACGTACGGAAATTCAAAATTTTCCATTTCTTTTTTATTTTAATTAAACATTAGGAGTGTAAATTGCTTTTATTTTTATAACTTATGAATAATTTAATAATGAACTTTAAAAAAGTTAACTATTATCTCTACTTTTTCTTACACAACAGTTTTCTATATTACCGACACGATTTTATTCTGTTGATAATTTATCTTCATAGATACATAGAATATCTCAGATGATCTAGAGTTTACTTTAATATCAATCAATGAGAACATCGTACAGAAATTTAATCTATTATATTATCATTTTATCACGTGCGCTTTTAAAAACTTATTTTATAGAATTGAAAATAAATAGATTAGATTAAATTAAAATATAGTATTTTTTTTTTAATATTGCACTTAAAAGGAAATCAAAAACAACGACGATCAATGTTCATGTTTTCTTGTAATATAACCGATGATATACAAATGTAGAATCTCTTGATATAGATAGTTTTATTTGTATATTACATACATTATAATGCATCACAATGAGTAATTACATTTGTTTTTATTTTCGTTTTATCTCTTGTGCGGTATAATTAAATTCAGCAATCGATCACGTCGTTTCCAACGAAATTAATTAATTTCTAATGAAAATTTTGAAGAGGAAAGAATCGACGTGACCGAAACGTAGTTACATATCTTAGGAATCGTTAATGTTACATCTATTACAACCTTATACGTTAACAGAATATTTCGCAAAGTTACATTAATTAACTAATTACAATATGATACAGTTCTTTCGAGCCATTCAAAGCTCGATTAACTTCCGACGATGGATTTTGAGGTACGATTAAGCGATAAATAAGAATCTTCTTTTCACTCTATACTCAACTTTCAGTTAAATGTCGATCCTTTAAATCCTATTTTTAAATCTGCTTAACGTTTAGTATCAAATAAAAAATAAAAAAATAAAAAAAGAACAACAGATATCGAAAAGAATATTTCGATTACTTTTAATAAATACGTAGCTATTTACAAACTCTTACATTAAAAAGATCGACATTTAACCGGTTTTACAATATACGCGTTTAACGCGTAATATTAAAAAAGAATACTGTCTTTCAAAAATTGTTGAAAGTTTTCACAAGCCGTATTAATCTCCTAAAGAATTTGTTAACGTTGAGGCCGAAAAAAAGGGTATAAAAGAAAGAGTCCGTAGCTTTGTTCCATTTTCTTACGATTGAGAAAATTGAAGTAAAAAATTCAGATTCTCCACGTTTTCGTAGTCCGTTTTAACGTTTCAACCTATAATAAAAATCCTTCGTCGGAGTCTTATCACGTGACATTGATTTCCTCGTCCTCCTCATTTTCAGTTTGTTCTTCCGGTCTCTGCGGACTCGTCAAAGGACTCACGTCGCTAAGGTCCATTCTTGGTCTGTCGCCATCGGCATCACTCAAATCCGGATTGGGATTGTTCTTGTTTGGCAAAGTTTGTTCACGGGAGCCTCCTGTAGCTAAAAGTTCTCTTTCTTTGCTATTACGCCATTTCATTCGTCGATTTTGGAACCAGATTTTCACCTGAAACGATTAATAAAACGGAATTCTCATTAATGTCAATCGCTTTGGAGAAGAAAAAAGATAGATGATAAAGATAGAAAGCCTTAGCAAGAAAATAAAGTAGGTAGGTATTTCTCGGTGATATTAATAATGCGTGACGTCGAACGATATTAAAATTCATTCGTCCCACACAAACGGGGACAGCCTCTTTCCGGCCGGACTTTTCAATAAAGCGCGAAGGGTGTTCACACGGATGACCGAGCTCTCTCTCTCTCTCTCTCTCTCTCTCTTCTCTTTTCTATCATCGATTTAAATCCTCCTCTGTTTTTTTATTCTCCCAAAGCTCTACTCTCGTCGATAAAGACATCGAACGAAGGGGGAGAAATGGAACGCAGAAAGAAGTAGAATAAATTCTTTATGTCTCTGTGTATAACTGTGTGTATGTATATATATATATGTAAGTATATGTGCGTTGACGGAGAAGATAAAGAAGGAAGAAAGAAGATGAAGTGGAAATAAGAAGAGAAGAGTCACCCTTATTTTCGTACGCTAAAGACCATGCATTACCGAGCCGTTCAACGGGCCAACGTCAAACGCACACGAGACCTGAAATTCAACCCCCCTCCTCCCCCGAACCTTCTCTGACATACACTCTCTCCCTTCATCTCTCAAGCTACCACTACCACCCTCTCATCCCCTGGTACCTAGCGGGTACCCTTCGTGCCACCGCTCAATCCCATCCGCCACTTTATTATACGCGTTCTGCCTTGAGCCGTGTGCCACGTAAAATCGTTGACCCCGCGGCCGGATTGATTTACCTAAACTGCTTTTCGAATTTTCATTCGGCGGTCGAGGTGTGCGCTTGACACCCTAACAGAAAAAGAGAAAGAGAGAAAAGATGGGATTGTTTTAAAATCTAATACCATGCATCTCATGCATTTCTCAAACTTTTTGTTGTGAAATCTAACATCATACGTTTTTAATGGTATCCCAGTTCACAATGTTTTTAAAATTTGGTATACTGAATATTATTTTAAAAATATTGGATAAAATTGTTTGGAAATTTCTTATAAATTAATTATTTTCTTCCATGTTTTGAAATAAAGTTTTAACTATCATTTGGCGACATATTAAAACTTTGAAAAAAAGAATTTAAAAAAAAAAAACTGAAACAAATTAGATGTGAAATTAATATTATATTATATTACAACTATATCTCACGGTTTCGAATATAAATGAATAATTAATTTCATGACAAAAACATGAAATGGTATATAGAAAATACAAATGTAGAAGTTATTATAGAGGGGTTAATGATGAAATTGTAAGACGTAAAATCGTTATTTAACGATGGAAAACAAAGCTTGCAAAACGATAGCTAGTCCATTAATTGCTCGTAATCCGTTCCAGAGCGAGCATTAAATTCGCTCGCAAATGGGCGAACGGACGTTTTTCGAAAGTTCCCAGTGATCGTATGCTCGCGACCGGCAATTTAACGCATAATCAGTGTGCAGTTGGTTATTGTTTAAAACATTGGGAATTTTCACGCAAGGCCGCGCGTATGCACTTGACACTTTCGGACGCGAATGATATGACGTGCTAATATACTCCAGCTTTTAGGCTGCACTCATACGAGCAACGTTCACGTAAACATCGTTCACAATATATGTGCATGCGTCAGATATCGGCCATGAAACTAATTACGACCATTTCTAATTCATTTCTAGATTTGATATTAATAACTTGTCTTTACTTGTCCTTTTATTACGTTTAAATAAGTATTACATTATTATATTAAAATAATATAATTATTTTAAAATAGGTCTTTTTATAATACTTATATAATAAAATAAATATATAGATTTTTAGAATATTTTAATTATCTCATTATTCAATTTTATTATATTACTTTTTATTAATATTACGTAAAGTAGATAAAAGATTTAATTTTCATTTGACATTAGGTACTACCTTCAAACCTTTAACTTTAAAAATATTTAATATATGTTATTGTACTTTTGTTACGGTTAACGTTATTTTCTCTTTATAGATGTATGTAATAGAAATTACGAAACGATAAAAGGGTTTGATTATATTTAACATACATATAACAATTTATATTACGAAAGATAAAAGGTTCAATTTAAACGGAACAAAAAGGCATAACATCCAACCTTCATTGAGGATTCTGCGATCGATATTTATGGAAATATCGAGATAGAGGATTAATCGTTGAATTATGCCGCTCGACGTGCCAACGCTTTTATATTCTCCACCGCGTTTAGGATATTCTCGTATGAAATTCGTTAGTAAAACTATAATACCTGTTTTACTCGATGTTTATATTTAACTCTGTGATATTGTAGCGAGCTCGTAATTATATATTTAATAATTACAATCTCGTCGCTTTATACTCGTTGTTTTGACATAATAAAAAAATGGTAAAGAATATTAATTGGATTAAAAGCAATAAAACGATAATAATTTTTTACCGGATATTTTATATTCGAGATCGTGTTCACAATAGTCGCGGAATTGACATTCTCGTTAGTATGAAAATAAATAAATAAATAAAAAGATGAAAAAATGAAGGATCGTTTGGAAAATTTCAAAGTTTTTCGATGACCATATAACGAATGATTTTCCAAATTTTCTTCTGACATTAACTGAACGTGTGTATCTGACACGATTGCGAAACCCTAACGACCTGACGTGCTAATATTCTCTTTGGCCTTAGGGTGTACTCACACGGAGTCGTGTACTAACCCGACTCTGACCTCTGCCATGCAAGAGAGAAAGAGAAAGAGAAAGAGAGAGAGAAATGTTATAGAAGGGGTAGTGGTAACAGGTACATACGTAAAGGGCTCGCGTCATAACCCTTAACGCGTAAGCGTTGAATTTTCCTTTAACTCGCCGACGATGACCACCGTGGTGTAGTATGTATTTACAAGTATACGTAAGTGTATGTATGTATGTACAACGAACGCGCTATGACAAAAGAGAAACAACCTGCTAGTAAAGTCCGGAAATGAGCTGTAAGCCGACCGTATTTGTCCCGGTAAAATTCGCTGTGACGTTATGCTGATTTCTCAAAGTTTCGTCGGAAGTTGTCAGAAGAAAAATTGTATTTTTCGAAACGACCAAAAAGTTCGCGTTGAATTTTTTCGTTCCCCTTTACCTGTGTTTAATTTTTTTTTCTCATGACACACTCCTTTCTTTCTTTTTATTTTCTTTTTTGTTTTTTTTTTTTTGTTTTTTCTCTTTCTGTCCCCATTTGTGTTTTTCTCTTGCACACTTTTTTATTTAACAAAAGTCGCCATACTCTTTGCAAAAGGAGGCTTTGCTTTCTGGCTGCTCCCCCTCCTTCTTTTCGTTTTACGTTTACCGGGAAACGGCAGTGATTGATTGTCCCGTCAACGGCAGGCAGGACGGAAACTAACAAAAGTAACAAAGCGCCTACACCCGCTAGAAAGCGAGAGCGGGAACGATAACGAAAGAGAAAAACTGAGAGAGAAAGAAAGAAAGAAAGAAAGAAAGAAAGAAAGAAAGAAAGAAAGGAAAGCCTGCGTTTTTGGGTAAAGTTGAATTGCTCGTTGTTCGATGATGATCTCATCGTTCAATTTGTATGTCACTCGACCTTAATTTCATGTCGACCTTGAGCTAATCTATTTAAAACGAGGACATCGTGAACATCGATGGGATCATTTAAAAAATTTCGATAAAAATATCAGTAACTATACGTATACATATAAACGTGTAAACTATTGACAAAAAATTTGAATGCACGTACGGTACATAAAATCTCTTGAAATTATTTAATATTATTATCTCAAATGCTTTATATTTTTTCATATGTATAGGAATACAGAAATATATTGTTTTTTTATTCTCTCTTTTACGGGTTCGAGTCATTTTTCTACGAATACTTTCTCATACTTATCTAGTACAACACCTGGAACCATTTCTTTTTCCATATAATTATTTAACACAATTTTGACATTCGTGAGATTAATTTTTATAATTTTCAAGTATTTTTTAGAAAGTTCCATAAGTTTCCCAAAGGTATTGTAATGTGATATCATAAACAGTACAAAAGCGTTATTGTTGTTGTTGTTGTTGTGTTGTTGTGAAAGCTTATTATTTACAATTCAATGGAATTAATGAATTTTAGTAACAGTTAAGTCATATAAAACACATTGAAGAATAAAAGAATGTTCAAAAATAATGGAATCTATAACTTGTACAAAATTGTTGAATGCAAATATAATAATAGTAATCAAAGTTTCGGCCGGTAAGTGTATGTAAAGATATAAAGGATTTATCTATACAGGTAGTTTGATCATTTCACATCCACTTGGAGACGAGTACAGTATAATACCTTCTTGCGTATTATTTGCTGAAACGATCCCCTATATCTCGATTCTCGAGTGATCTCAGGCAGCATTCTCGTCTCGCGAGTGAGCAATCGTATTTCAACTTTGAAAGCGATCATTCTCCCTCCTACCCTTCTATTTCTGAAGATTCACTCTCATTCTCGAGACCAACTTCTTACAAATTAGTTCAATAATCGATTATTCTCGTGATATTATTTATTGATAACACATAGATATATATATATATATATATATACATAGGTACATATAACAGCGCTTGAATAATCGGAACGAACTTAACGGCGATATCCAAAACGCTTTGAATTACTACCGCCATTGTATAGGGAGCATAATCGTTAAACGATTACTCCCCTCGTTTCTCTTTCATGTAACGAGTAATATAACCGAATGAAAAAGTTAAACGGTAAAGAGTTAGCTAGATGGAAAAACGAGTTGTTTAGTTCTATGGAAACGAATGCGAGATAACTTTTAAAAACCATCATATTATAAAAAAAAAAGAGAAAAAAAGAGAAAATAAAGATCAACTAACATTCGAAAATAATCTTGCGAATAGAGTGAGTAAGGAAGGAAGAAAGGAAGGAAGGAAGGAAGGAAGGAGGAGTATCATAAGTAAAGTAATATATCATT